ACTTAAAAGGTAAATTATCAAAATTAACAAAAACCGAGAATGCTTACCTGATAGAAAAGAAGAGTCTTTCCACCGCCACTAAGTACAATGGTGTTAGACTTTGTGCGCTTCAATAAGCGAACTGCGATGAGGAGCAGAGAAAAAGGGAAAATAAAATTCATATAAACAAATCAAAATTCAAAATTCTGAATCGAAATTAACACAGGTAATTCGTGTTTACATTTTGGTATATGGGTTATAAATGGACGGGCCGTGCCGTGTCGTATTAGCCCGTTAACGGCCCGTATAACTAAACGGGTTAAGTGTGTTAAACGAGTTGGTACTAATCCAGTTAATTTATTTTCGTGTTATTCGTGCCAGTCCATAACGACCTAGTTAATAATCATGCGATCCAAACTCATTTATCTTGTGTCATTTTCGTATCGTTTCATCATGTCGTGTCTGAAATTGCTGACCCTAAACACACACACACAGATTTACAAGTGCAGAAAAGTGCGAGCGAATAATATCGTACCGATCAAAGAAGAGAAAAGATCGTGAAGAGAAGCGTAGAGCTCATGTCTCATGTGGGGAGAGTCTATGGAATTTAGAGGAGAGCAGCAGTGTTTTTGATTTGGGGTAATAACTGTTCGCACTATTCTAATTCCGTCCTCCATACAATACGCACTTTAAAACGGTGATGGATCTTTCCCTCCTTTTTCTAATAGAGAAAATAAATCAAAGGCTAGTTTCTTAATTTTTTTTCTTAATTTTTAGGAATAACTTAATTTTTCTATTGAAAAAAAAAAGGGAATAACTCTATTAGAAGATCTCAATTAGGAGAATAAAAATTTAAATTTGAACTTGTTTATAAAATTATGAAATATGCTTAGTGTGTGAATATGGAGTTTGGAAAATATATTAGTTTAAATATAAGTCTAATGTTTTAGATGTCACTCAAGGCATTGGGCAACTGCTTTAGACGCCAGCCGTATTTGAAGTGAGATCTAATAAGCTCTTAGATCTAAGTTTAGCTATCTAGCCTTTAGATGTTGCCCAATGTAATAGACAGATGTTTATAACAAAAGCAACTGCTGACTTGTTTCTCAATTTTTATTGTTTGATTATAATTTTTAAAAAGTAAAATGAGGATTTATCAAACACTTTAAATTATTGTAACTTGTTTAAAAAAGTTAAAAGCAGTCTTTAAAAATAATATCAAACGGACTCTTGTTATCATAAACTCAATTTAAATAAAACTTGCCTTATTTACATATGCATAAAAATATTATTGTGCCTTTTTTTTTTTTTTTTGTTTCGAATTACTTTTGTTTCTCATATTGTATGTTTACGTTTTTTGTGCCTAGTTGTTGAGTCTTTGACATCCCGTATTACGATGTCGTATTCTGTACATGGAAGCATTAATTTTACGTGGAAAAAATTTAAAGATGCATCGAGAATTGACTTCAGAGCCTAGCATTCATGCACATAATTACAACTACACCAACTCAACTTCACCACACTACCCACGCCAACTGGTAAACTGCAAGCTCAAAGCTTAAACAACTTCTATAATAATTGCCCACGTTCCATTTTCATCCTTTCCAATATAATATATCCAAAATAGACCGGGGGAGTTTAAGGCTGGTAATACGAAGTTAGTGAGTTTAGATTTATTATAAATGAGTTTTGGTCATAATCAGATTGACACGATTAATACGATTAATAAATGTATTAGGTTAGGGTTGACATTTTAATACGAAGTAACACGATTAACTATATGTGTCATCTGCAATCTAATGATATGTGATATAACATGAAAGTTTATATGACACATTAAATACAAATAATGTGAATTTTATTATTTGTAGGTAAAATTCATTCATTTTTCTTAAAAGGTCTTCACAGTGTTAAATAAGTTATTATTATATTAGTTATTTATTTAATATATTAATCTAAACGGATTATACGCATTGACACGATTAACACGAGTAATAAATAGACTGTGTTTGGATTAATATTTTTGACACGTTTAATAAGCAGATCGTGTTTAGGTTAATGTTTTTTAACACAATTAATAAACGGTTTACACGAACATGACTCACTAGCACAAATTACCACACTTACGTGGAACATCTCTCCGTGGAAAGCTAGAACGAGGCTAGAACG